CTGACGTCGGGCGTGTGTCCTGACATCTGTGAGCCTCAGTCACTGCAGTCATCAATAATAGTACTTGGGGATAATAACAGGACTTAGGGTCTAGCAGAGAGTGGTGGAATCCGGTCAGCAATGCTGTCCAGCACTTAGATGATAGCAGGGAGGTTAGCTCCCAGTAGCAGTGGACAGTTATTATCCAGCGGTTACCTGTTATTTCTGGGCACCCCTCCCTTAGCTTGCTCTCATGTGGCAGCTCTGAGGAATGTCCAGGAAAGGAGCGTGGCTTCCTCTCCTCTGCGCTATTTGGACATTGTAGTGGTTTGAATATGCTTGGCCCAGGGAGTGGCAATGACAGGAGGTGTGGCCTTGTCAGAGTAGGTGTGGTCTTGTTGGAAGTGTGTCACTCTGGGGGTGGGCTTTGAGACCTTTCTCCTAGCTCCTGGAAGTCAGTCTTCTCCTAGCTGCCTTTGGAGCCAGAGGTAGAACTTTTAGCTCCTCCAGGGCTCTGCCTGCCTGAATGCTGCCATGCTTCCTGCCATGATGATAATGGACTGAACCTGTGAACCTGTAAGCCAGCCCCAATTAAATGTTGTCCTTTATAAGAGTTGCCTTGGTCATGGTATCTGTTCACAACAGTAAAATCCTAAGACAGACAACGATAGGTTCATGGAAGAGCAACAGCCTTCCACTTCTCTCCTGAGTCCCCTCTCTCCATCTCAGGGGTGCCGACACCCTATTACGTCCAGTATCCAGTACTGTCACGTCATAGCCACTGATGAGGAGAGGACCACTAACACATGCTTTGGTGTTAGCAGTATCTTGACTTTTAAAGATACCATGCTGAGTACTTATGAGATGGCTCCGGAAGGAAAGATGGCTCTTGCTGCCAAGCCCAGTGATCTGAATTTGAGTCCCAGAATCCACATGATGGAAGGAGGAAAGCATGATATGAGTTATGTTCGGGGGTGGTAGTGAAGCAGGATCTTACTACATAGCCCAGGGTGGCCATGAACTCATGATCTTTCTTCCTCTACTTCCAAAACTCAGAGGGACAGGTATGAGTTACCATGCCTAGCTCAAAGCCTTCTGTTAAATCTTATTTTTAAATTTTCTTTTTGAGACAGGGTCTCATGTAGCCCAGGCTTGCTCATGCTTCTTATGAGGCTAAGAATGACCTTGAGCTTCTGACCCTTTCCTTCTCCCACAGGTGCTGGGATCATAGGTAAATGTCACAGTGATGCCACTTCTGCTAAACCTTTATTGTTTGCCCTACTTTTTTTTTTTTTTACATCCCCACTGTCTGAGACTGAGTACCCCCAACACAGCCCCTGGGGGTGGTGAGGACTTATGTCTGGGACTCAAGAGACACTTCCCCAAGCATGGTAGACACCTTCCATGCCCCACCCCGTGCACAGCTTCCTAGTCCCAGGCAGGAGAGATGAGTGTCTCCCCTGGCCCCAGAGAGCCTGCCCCACCTCAGCTAAGGTCCTGGGTCTAGTTTTTCCCACCAAGGAGAAAATAGCAAGAAAAACAGATGGGAGCTGATACCCTGTACTGTAGGGTCGGCTGGGAGCGGGTGCTGGAGGAGCCCCAGGAAAGCTTTGACCCCAGGGGCTTTGGGCAGCCAAAAAGGGTAAGGGGTAGGGGTGAGGGGTCCCCTTCCGGGCATACCTTCCCATATAGGACACTGTTAGTGCCCATTTCTCCTGTCATCTGTGTCCATATGTGGGTCTTGGGATGGACCCCACTCCCAGTACTTGAGGTCACCTGGTTCACCCTCCATTTTTAGATGGTACCTAAAATGAACCAGTCCAGTTTTCCCCCGCGTTAAAGCAGAGGCTATTCTGAATCTGCCACCATCTGCATCTAGATGACCCAGTTAGCCTGGGTCCTGAAGAGGGTCTGGGCTTGGAAGGAGAAGACCTGGGCAAGTAGACACTCTGATCCGTCTTTCTGCCATTCTGTTACGTGCTACACACCCACACAGTGCGGTTATGGAGTTCCCCTGGGGCATGGCCGAGGAATGGCTTTACAGACTATAAAAAAGATCTAAGGGAGAGATCAAGATGCAGCGATGGGGAGCAGAACCCTTAACCCCACCCTGCCTATGTTTGCAGCCCCTCTGCTTTTAGAGAGGCCTACCTTGTCTAACCACTGTCTACCAGATGAAGGTCAAGACTGTACCCCATAAGGTGGTCTGCCTTCCTGTGTTCTTTCCCTATACACTCTTGACCAGAACTTGCTTCCTTGTGTCTGGAAGGCTGTGGGGGATGGGGGAGGCGCTTGAAGATCTCACATGAGCCAGACCTGGGTAAGCTGTTTAGATAGTACCAGGGCTGTGTTTGCTGAGCTCCTGGGAGTGCTGAGATGTTGCAGGTATGTGTTTGCCTAGAAGCTTGGTGGGGTAAAAGTCCAGGCTAGGGAATATTAAGAAGGTATTTTCAGAGTATTTGAACACATGATATCTCATTTTTATATCATCCCCAATCTCTGAAGCAGGAAGAAATTGAGTTATCCAGCTGCACACTCAGTGCCCACATACAGGTCTCCTGACTGCAAAGGATGCAGCAACCTCACTGTTCTGCTGCAGATGTGAGGGAGGGGAATGGTTTTCTCTGTGTTGGCAGAGTGAGGCACCAGGGAGCGAGCTAGCTCTGTGGCTTCTCCATAGTTTGGGAACACAAGAATCCTGTTATCTATCACAGAGGCAGAGGCGGGCAGGACTTTAAAGGTGTTAGAGTCGGCTGCAGTCTTCACTTTCTTGCTTGGTATGGACTAGATAAGAAGTTCCAAAGGCCCGTCGATTGCCGGCCTTTCAGAGGACCACCTGCTTTCCCCAGAGATCCTCTCGTCTCAGGAGCAGGTGGATGTCAGTGGATCCTTATGGGTCCAGAAACAGAAAGCTGCAGATCCTAACGGCACCGGACAGAAGAAAATAGCTGGAGCCCTCCCTTCACAGCCCAGTGCTCCTGAGGCCACCCCAGCCCTCTCAGGAGCTGCACTGGAAAATAACAATTGGGCAAGCCACAGCCACTTTGTGGCTCCTTGGCACAGAGCTGGGCAGGCCCCAGCCTTTGGCACTCTCTCCAACGCCAGAGTGCCGGCAGAGGACACCATGGCTGGCTGTGGATAGTGTGATTTTAAGGGAAGTGGGAAGCCCCTGGGGATATTATTAATACCCTCAACCCCCAGTGGCAAGAGAGGCTGTCATCTCTGGCTGATAGGCAGCCTTGTCTCTCATGAATCATTACAAATGTGTGTGTCTCCTGTACCTGCAGACCCAGAGAAGGTTAAGAACTCTACCTGTCTTCTTGCTATTGTGCTATCGTTGATTCATCCAAAATATGAGCTACATAGGGCCAGCACGGTGACTTAGTCAGTAAAGAAAAGCACTGGCCGCCGTGCCTGACAAAGATCCCTGGGACCCAAGGGGTGAAAGGAGACAACTAATTCTCCTAAAGTGTTCTCTAATCCACACACACACTCACACACACATACACACATACACACATACACACTTACACACACACATACA